GTCCCCATTTTCACCGGAACAGGCCATTTAACCATCCAAATGATTTCTAAACGGGTTTATTAAGCTGAAAAAGTTGCCAAGTTCCCCTTTAATGCATTTTCTAGAAACATATTGTCACGTCACATCAAGTCAGTAAATACTTGCAACTTTTGTGTTTTCTACTTGATTTAAATCAGTTTGCTGATATATTTGATTAACTTTAGACATTAGAGAGTTATGTTTTCTCTTCTTCGATGGAAAAAAATTCTAACAACATGTACTGGGTTTCACTGTTGTAAAACAATAAAACTGAAAGTCTATGACGGGTTAATACTTTTTTTGGGGGAAGTTTGTATTCACAGTGACCTTTGCTTTATTTGCCAGGAAGCGAGGCAGCATATGGCGCAACTACCAGGAGAGCTACATGTTATAGCAGAAGCTGTGTTTGTAGGATAAGGCTGATTTTCCTTCCTGACATGTTCAGTCTCTGTGCACAATATGGCTGTTTGTCTCCACAGTAGTAGAGGCCTGCAGGAGTCTATTAATTTTGCAGCTTTCCACTGTTGTTTTGCTGCTCACTCCCGCAGGTTTTCACACTCCTCCTGCAGGAAAACACAGCCCAAAGCACGCATCCCGTTGCGATTTCATGTACTGCCCACCTAATAATTAGAGAGCGACTGAAATGCAGCACCATTACAAAACAATGTCCCTTTGTAATGTAACATGTCCGAAATGAGCCGATTAAATCATGAAAACACAAGACAAAGTGCAGGTTTGTAGCAGACTGTCAGCACAGCCTGAAAGTAACTTGAGACATAATACGAAAGAATAAAGCCCATTAGGCTACACTGCATTATATGACAACATTTATCCCAAGTAGGCACTCAACAACTTTGATATTGACAGCACAGTCATCACGTGAGTGCTGCTTATCCATAAATCAACTTATTTATCTGGTTTTGGTTTCACTGCTCTACCACGGAACCTTAATTTGCACACAAGCAAATCTTCACTTTTTAGTCATAAAACGAGACAAACAAGTTATGTTTCTCTTTCATATATTGTTTATCTAGAAAAGGCCAGGCTCGTAGCTTTTTTAGACACATTCAAGCAACTTTACCAACAACCCTTAATCACGTTCATCCACTTACATGATTCACTCCGCTCGCCAAAATGAACACGTTCTACAACACATCTCATCTGTGCGGACGTCAGAGAGAAAAGGGCCGATCAGTCTATGCACCGTAGCTGTGACAAGCCTCTTTCCACACACTTCCTGCTATCGTGTTTCACAACGCTGCCAAAATCCAATTTTAAAGTCGACACAATCCCAGTGGGTCAATTCTTTGCTAGAACTCTGACGCATGACTCAGGTTATATGAGGCTGCGTCGGCTGGGTGCAGCTCAGAGACAGGTGACTTAACAGTGCCGATCCATGATTGAAAAAAAAATGAAGGGTGGGAATAGAATATTAGGGCGAATGCACTTGACAGAAGGGCTAAGGTCACGATAGGGTACAGATGCCTGCGCCAATGAAAGCCACAGTGTTCTTTTTAACAAGAACTAAGGAGAACGGGTTTATAAAAAGATTTTGGACTTTACACTCCAGCATGTGATACCTGGGCTGACTGATATAAATATCACAAAAGACTTCCTTCATTATCAATATCAGGGTAAGGAAACCCATTAAGCTGCATGGTAAGGTCTGATAACTGGTCATCTTAGCCAGCTTTGGAGAAACCCGACACTATAATGGCACCGGGACATTAATGACTCACAATATAAAAAAAAAATACCATGACAACATTTTTGTGCATATATTTGCACTTTTGTTGTCAAATTGTGTCATTCTGTTTCTACATATTGACATTTTACTATTGCTATTCTTTGTACTCTGCATATATGACATCTAATGCTTGCCTGTCCATCCTGGAATATTTTTCTCCCTGTGCTTCTCCGGTTAAAGGTTTTTCTTCACCCTAGTCGAGGAGTCCAAAGAAAGAGCAGATTGTAAAGCCTTTCTTGTGATCTGTGGGATTTAAAAATAAAACTGACTTAACTAAACCTTCCCAGCTTAAAAAGAAAGAAAATCACCATGAATGCAAACCAAAATATCTGTAGTCATTCATGAGGTAATTACCAATCCAATGCACCGCCCTAGGATGAAAGCAAGTTGTCTTAAGCACCAAAAACATTCTGATTCATGAGCCAAACGCTGGAGTTACATTCTGCTGCAGGAAAAAAATACCAACATTAAGTACAAATGACACTAATTCAAACACACACGGAGTCCCTTACCTTGCAAAATATCCCGGCTTCCTGTCTCTCTTCTCCATCAGGCCGGGGTCCTAAGTCTGCATGCAGTCAAGCGCATCCATACAAACACCCACCCTCACACACCCACTCAGTGTGTCCAACCCAGCAGACACAGCTTTGGGAAGATCAGCTCTCACACTGTGCTCTCACGCTTCTTTCTTGTCCTGTAGAGGAAATAAGCAGGGGATTAGCAGCAGGCTCACCGAGGGTGCCTCCTCACTCAACAACACTCACTACAATGCAAAAGCCTCAATAACTGCTGGCGAAGCCTCATCAGCCTAAGTGGAGGGCGATGAAAGCATCCTATAATAAGCATGTCAGGCCAATCAGCTGGCCAACAGGCTGGAAAATGCATCCCTCTGCTGTGGAGGAAAGACACATCTGCTGCTTTCCGCTCCAGTAAAAACGTGTGTTTTATTATGTAATTATGCTCCATCACAACAGCGTGTCTATTATTAGCAGCGTCAGTTTTGGGAATCCAGTTGATGTAAACACTCACACCATCATGGCTACACTAACAGCTAGCTGGGACATCGCGGGATTAAGCGAAAACGAAACAATTGATTTACAGGCATGCACACACCCTAAAGAACAGACATCAGGGTTCAACTGGGAGGTGATCCACGTGTGGCCTAAAAGTGTTATGTAACAGGTAAATGGCTACTCACGNNNNGCTCAATTTGAAGCAACCTTACCCCCACCTAGCTACATTTTCAGTGTTTCTTGCAGCCTGCTTGGGGATTCCTCTAAGAACCGGACCGGCCTCTTAAGGTGCAGCAGTAACACACATGTTCAACGCTGTCTTCAAACCCGTCTGTGCAAGCGACAGGTCTGAGCAAACACAGACAGCGAGCAAGGTCCAGCTTTACAGGAGCAGACTGAAACAGCTGACGCTAACTGTGCTAGCTAGCCACTTCGTTTACAGGACAATAGCAACCTGGTGGAGATGTTAAGGATATGTTTATTCGGTCGAGCCGCTAGCCCGTTCTTTTAAAACGGGGTATTCCCGTCAGTGTCCTCTGTCCTAACAATAACTGTCTAACACTCTTGTGCAACGAGGCAATTAAACGCTTCAAATCTGGCACAAAAACAGGTTAGCTAACATTGCCCACATACCTTGCGTGCATCCTCAAACAGCTTCAAATCAAAATGAAGCCTCCCTTCACTCCCGTTACGCCCTCTGGTGTCACATGCGACGTAAAAACACACACCAGCTCACTAGGTACTAG